AGAAATTCTTGACTTACAATTTTTCAGATAGGATCAGATCAAACTTAAGAACTCTATCAAAGATCAAGCAATGAAGATAAACACAAGGTGGAAGAGAGTGCAGACGGCACCTCACCAGGGAGGCCTTTCAGGAAATCCAGTTTTTGCATGATATGGAAGCACGTGCATGGAACATGGAACTGTGGTTCATTTTTCCTGAGCGACCCTCTGAATACCAAAAAAGGAGCGAAGAAAAATTTCTTAAGGAACTGCCGTTCTTAACTTTCTTCACCAGTTTTTTGCCAAAGTCTACGTATAAAGGTTGCTGATGGTCCTAATTATAGATATGACATAAGTTGTTTACGCTGACGCTATTTTTCGCGAATTTTGAAACGCCAACACAAAATGCAAAAAATTGTCACTGCGAGGATTCGAACCACGGACCACTTCATCACCCCTTTTTTGGTATTCAGAGGGCCGCTCAGGAAAAATGAACTACAGTTCTGTTCCATGCACGTACCCCTATATCATGCAAAAAACCGTTTCGAGAAAGCTGGGCATTTCCTGAAAGACCTTCCTCGTTAGTGCGTCTCACATGAAGACCGACAGGGAGAATGAGAAGTGAGCTCTTCAAAAAACGCTTCACCTTTGAATGGCTCAAACTGATTTTGGGACAAAGTGACGTCACTTTGCCCAACTCCACTATGGGCATCGTTGATACCACATAATCGTATTCACTCGACTCTCCATTGCCATGATGTACCTGAAATATTTTGCTAGTTTGAAGGGAAGCATGCCAGCAATGGGTTTCGAGATTAAATAGTTGTTTTTCGAAGTTTTTTTTTGAGATAATTAAAAGGTTGTTTTTCAAAAGAAAATTCGACGTATAACAACTGAACTATACGTTTCTTGAGGCATTTTGCCGAGTTCTTTACTCAAAGGAATGTGAAACTTGTCCTTTGTTCAAACAGGCCTACTGCGGGGGAAAACTAGAACGTGAAACGATAGTATTTGTACTTTACACATGTTATTTTCCCCTACAAACAAGTGGTACTGAAGATGATTCACCGGATTTTGTTGCAGCATGGTCCTGGAAAGCACTCAAGGAGATTGTTAAAGGGAGGCCCCGTTGTAAAATGGGTGTTGTGGCGTTCATTAATGAAGCTGGAAGTGAGAATAATCTGGAGAAGAAGAAGGAAGCAAAAGAAACCCCGATTGCGCCTCTAACAAGGCGGCCTCTCTTTCGGCCGCATTC